GCACTGGCCTTACAGCCGCGTCGCGCCGCCCTCGCGGCTCTGCTGCATCGCGCCGCCCTCGCGGCCCCCTAGCGCCGCCCACGCGGCCTCATCGCCTGCCTCTGCAGGCCCCGACGTCGCCACTGCCGGCCCCGCAGCTGCACCTGACGGCCCCGCCGTCCCCTTCGGACGGCCCCGCCGTCCCTTTCTGCCGGCCCCTCCGCTGCACTTGACGGCCCCGCCGTCCCCTCTGCCGGCCCCGCCGCTGCACCCGACGGCCCCGCCGTCCCCTCTGCCGGCCCCGCCGCTGCGTCAGACGGCCCCGCCGCTGCACCTGACGGCACCGCCGTCCCCTCTGACAGCCCCGCCGCTACACCTGACGGCCCCGCCGTCCCCTCTGACGGCCCCGCCACTGCACCTACCGGCCCCGCCGCTACCCCTGACGGCCCCGCTGCTGCACCTGCCGGCCCCGCCGCCTCATCTGCAGGCCCCGCCGTCTCACCTGCCGGCCCCGCTGCCGTTCCTGACGGCCCCGCCGCTGCATCTCCCGGCCCCGCAGCTGCATCTCCCGGCCCCGCCGCCCCAGCAGCCGAGCCGCCCCAGCAGCCGAGCCGCCCTAGCAGCCGAGCCGCCCCAGCAGCCGAGCCGCCCTAGCAGCCGAGCCGCCCCAGCAGCCGAGCCGCCCCAGCAGCCGAGCCGCCCCAGCAGCCGAGCCGCCCCAGCAGCCGAGCCGCCCGAGCCGCCTGAGCCGCCGAGCCGCCCGAGCCGCCCAGCAGCCGAGCCGCCGTGCCGCCCGAGCCGCCCGAGCCGCCTGCACTGCCCTGTCTGGTGAGCACTGAGCTTTACTCTGCGCACTGCCCTCACCCTACTGCTGTCATGGCTACCCCCAGTGTCCTCACCTTTGACGCTGAGGGCAGAGCCATCGACTTTGACGTGTGGGTAGACGACCTACTGCTTTTCCTACAGTGCGACAGAGCTGACGGCCTCTCTCTCTTTGATCTCACTTCTGGTGCCTCTCCCGCCCCTGCTGCTACTGAGGATGCCACTGTTCGCTCACAGTGGGCCACACGCGATGCTGCTGCATGTCTTGCTTTGCGTCGCCACCTCCCTCCCTCTGAGCGTGCACACTTTGGGTCGTACAAGAGTGCTCAGACCTTGTACGACGCCGTTATTGCACGCTACTCCACCCCTGCCACTGCTGCACTGAGCCGCCTCATGCTACCGTACCTCTTTCCCGACCTTGCTTCTTTTGCCACAGTCGCCGACCTCATTACCCACCTGCGCACTAGTGACGCTCGCTTCCGCGCTGCGCTTCCTGCTGAGTTCTGCGCCAAGAACCCCCCCCCCCCCCCCCCCAGTACTTCACTCTCTACTACATTGTCACCCGCCTCCCTGACTCCCTTCGCGGAGTCAGGGACGACTTACTCTCAGTCTGCCCCACCACTCTCACTGTTGACCTCCTCGAGAAGTCCCTCCTAGCAGCCGAGAAGAGCATTCTCGCTGTAGGGGCCTCTCGTGGTGACCCGCGCACCCCCATCTTTGAGGGGTGTTCCCCCTCCCCCCTCCTGCCCTCTGTCGCCTCTGCTGCTACGGCCGACCTCGTTGGTTTTGAGTCGGTCGGTGCGGCGTCTGCCCCCAGCGGGAGACGTCGCTCTGGCAAGGGCAAGGGGGGCAGGGGCGGTGGGGGAGGCGGCGGGGGCGGTGGAGGCGGCGGTGGAGGCAGCGGAGGAGGTGAGGGTGGTAGCGGGAGTGGTGGCGGGAGTGGAGGTGTCAGCGGCGGCAGTGGAGGCGGGGGCGGCAGCGGCGGTGGTGGTGGGAGTGGAGGCGGAGGCGGTGGTGGCGGCGGGGACGGTGGGGGTGGCGGTGGCAGCGGAGGTGGTGGCGGCGGCGGCGGAGGAGGCGGCGGAGGAGGCGGCGGAGGTCGTGGCTCGTCGCGGAGGAGTGGCTCCGGTGGTGGTCAGCGCCAGCAGCAGCAGCGTGGTCAGGAGACCCTCTCCCCGCAGCAGCTCCGTGAGTGGTACGCTGCACGTCAGAGGGGTGGGGGTCCTGGTCCGTGCACCTACGTCCTGCGCACTGGCGACCGTGCGGGTGAGCCGTGTGGTGGTCCACATTCCTCCCAGCGCTGCTTCGGCCGCCTGACTGACGCTTGGCGCCGCCAGTTTCCTGATGCCTCTGAGATCCCTCGCTGGGACCAGCTGTCTAGGGCAGGAGTAGCTATCTTTGATCTTGACTTTGATGCTATTCTTCGTGCCATGTATGCTGTGACTATTAGTGAGGAGGGTGACTGTTACCGGTGTTTCCCGCCCGACCCGGGCATTGGTACTGCGGCTCTAGGTGCTGTTGAGGCTGCTGCTCAAGGTGCTGTTGAGACTGCGTCTCTAGGTGCTGTTGAGGCTGCTGCTCTAGGTGCCAGTGAGTCTGTGTCCCCAGGTGCTGGTGAGTCTGCTCTCTCAGGTACAGCGTCGGCTCCGCCCTCTCTCACCTTCACTCTTGACTCAGGAGCGTCTCTCTCCTTCTTTCGAGACCGCACCACACTCACGCCGCTTAGTCGGCCTGTGGCAGTCTCCCTGGCAGACCCCTCTGGGGGTCTTGTTCTGGCTCGCTACTCCACTGTCCTTCCGTGCCCTGCGGTCCCGTCTGGCTCCCTGTCCGGTCTCTACCTCCCCTCGTTCTCTACGAACTTGGTGGCGGGTGCTGACCTACAGGATGCAGGGGTTGACCAGTTCACCCCTGCGCGCCGACGGGACACCCACTGCACGGACGCGGACATGGGTCGACACTTGACCACGTTCACACGTGGGCCGGGGTCGAGCCTGTACACACTCACTATTCCGTCTCCTCCTCCTGCGTCTGGTCAGGTAGCTGCGTCAGGTCAGGTGTTTGCTGCAGCGTCCAGGTCTGGTCCTGAGTCTGCCCCCTGCTCGTGTCGCCTCCTGTCCCACGAGACCCTCCTGTGGCACCACCGCATGGGTCACCCCTCCCTGCCCCGTCTCCGGGGCATGGCCTCTCGCCTTCTTGTCTCTGGTCTTCCCCGGTCCCTCCCTTCCCTTCCTCCGGGGCCTGGCCCTCCCTGTGTACCCTGTGTCGAGGGTCGCCTGCGGGCTACCCCTCACTCCTCCCCGTTTCCTCCGACGGAGGCCCCGATGCAGACGCTTCACATGGACGTGTGGGGCCCAGCCCGCGTCCGTGGACAGGGTCACGAGCGCTACTTCCTGCTGGTGGTTGACGACTACTCGCGTTACACCACAGTCTTCCCCTTGCGCAGCAAGGGTGAGGTCACTGAGGTGTTGATCGACTGGATCCGCGCAGCTCGTCTCCACCTCAGGCGGAGCTTCGGCTCGGACTTTCCTGTTTTGCGTCTGCACTCGGACAGAGGCAGAGAGTTCTCCTCCGGCCTTCTGCGAGCCTACTGTCGTGCACGAGGCATCCGCCAGACCTTCACGCTTCCGGACTCTCCACAGCAGAATGGGATTGCTGAGCGCCGCATCGGCATAGTCATGGACGTCGCCCGTACGTCCATGGTGCATGCGGCTGCCCCCCATTTTCTGTGGCCGTTTGCGGTTCGGTACGCCGCGCATCAGATCAACCTTCAGCCCAGGGTCTCCAGACCGGAGACCTCCCCAGCTTTGCTGTGGACGGGGAAGGTTGGCGATGCGTCGGCGTTCCGTGTCTGGGGATCTCGGGCGTTTGTCCGCGACTTGTCTGCGGACAAGCTGTCCCCTCGTGCTGCTCCTTGCGTCTTCCTGGGTTTCCCCCCTGACGCACCTAGGTGGCAGTTTTACCACCCCACCTCTCGTCGTGTTCTGTCCTCCCAGGACGTCACGTTCGACGAGTCGGTTCCCTTCTACCGGCTCTTCCCCTACCGCACTCCGTCCCTCCCCCCGCCGCCCCTCTTCCTGGTCCCAGGTCCCCCCCCGGTAGACCCCCTCCCCCCTCAGGGTCCTGCCCCTTCAGGTGTGTCTCAGGTAGAAGCGGTCGAGCCTGTCGAGGTCACTGGTGACTCTGGTGCTGGTGCGGGTGCGGAGCCTCGGGGTGCTGAGACTGGGGGTGCTGAGCCTGGGGGTGCTGAGACTGGGGGTGCTGAGCCTGGGGGTGCTGAGCCTGGGGGTGCTGAGCCTGGGGGTGCTGAGACTGGGGGTACTGAGCCTAGGGGTGCTGAGCCTGGGGGTGCTGAGACTGGGGGTGCTGAGCCTGGGGGTGCTGAGCCTGGGGGTGCTGAGCCTGGGGGTGCTGAGACTGGGGGTACTGAGCCTGGGGGTGCTGAGCCTGGGGGTGCTGAGCCTGGGGGTGCTGTGCCTGGGGGTGCTGAGCCTGGGGGTGCTGAGCCTGGGGGTACTGCGTCTGGGAGTGCTGCGCCTGCTGCTTCTGTTCCTGGTGGTTCTCCGGACCGTTCTTCGCGCCGCGAGCCGCTCTCTCCTCTGGAGCTGCGTGAGTGGTTTGCCCGGCGCTGGAGGCGAGCTTCTGGTGCTGGGGGTGTTGCGGGTGCTGGAGGTTCTGTTGCTGCCGAGGGAGCTGGTACCACGGGTCCCGGAGGTGCTCGTACTGAGAGTACTGGAGCTGCCGGGCCCGGGGGTGCCTCTGGAGCTGGAGCTGCTGCGGGTGCTGGCGCTGAGACTACGACTGTCGGTCCTACTGAGGGTACTTCTGGCGCTGCTGGAGGTGCTGGTGTTGGAGCTGCTACTGGTGCTGGTGCTGCCTCTGGAGGTGTTGGTGCTGTCCCTGCTGTCTCTGGCGGTGCTGCGCGGCCTCGGCCGTACTTCGTTCCGCTCCTTCAGCAGGTTCTTGGTCTCCCGCCCTCCACTGGTCCTTCTCCTCCCGTAGAGTGTCCACAACCTGTCCCGTCACAGTCACAGTTACAGCCCGCCTCTCACCTGCCTTCTCCTTCTCCCTACACTGGTCCTACTGGAGGTCTTGCTGAGCGTCGTGAGCCTGCGTCCCGCCCTGCGTCGCCCGTCCGAGCTGCTCGCCCTAGTGGTCGCGGTTCGCGTCAGCGTCCTCCTCCTGTCCCTGGCACACACCAGATGTCTCTGCGTCCGTCCACTGCTCCTCTGCGTGCCCCTTTGCCTTCTCCTCCTCAGTCTTCTCTTCCTCCACTTGCCGACCCGGAGTCGGACTCTCGCCGTGCTGCCAGTCCTACTGTCACGCGTCTTCTTGCCTCTCTTGTCACTGACACTTCCTTTGAGTCCGCTGCTGCGTCTGCCCTAGTTGCTGAGCTGGTCGACTTTGCTGCTGCGTGTCGTCTAGACTACGCTGCCAGTCTTGTTGCTGAGTCTGCTGAGTCTGCTGAGTCTGCGTCTGCTGCGTCTGCGTCTGCCTGTCCTCCGTCCGTCGGGGGTGACTGTGCTCTTGGCACGGACGTCCTTGAGGACAGGCAGGAGGAGTTCCAGTGCTTTGCCGCCGCTTTGCCCCATCTCGTGTCCATGCTTGTTGCCCCTGAGGGAGACCCGGATGCTCTAGACATCCCGACCCCACGCTCTTACGCAGAGGCGATGGCCGGTCCCTACTCCTCTCAGTGGCAGTCAGCCATGGACGCAGAGATGGCTTCCTGGAAGTCCACAGGCACCTTCGTTGACGCTGTTCCCCCTCCAGGGGCGAACATTGTCAGTGGTATGTGGATCTTCAGGGTGAAGCGGCCGCCGGGTTCTCCGCCTGTCTTCAAGGCGCGCTACGTGGCTCGTGGCTTAAGTCAGCGACAGGGAGTTGACTTCTTTCAAACCTTCTCCCCGACCCCGAAGATGACCACTCTTCGGGTTCTGCTGCACGTCGCTGCTCAGCGAGACTACGAGCTACACTCTCTTGACTTCAGCACTGCTTTCCTGCAGGGCCGCCTGCACGAGGAGATCTGGCTGCGCCGCCCTCCTGGCTTCACTGGGTCGTTCCCTCCTGGTACCCAGTGGAGCCTCCGGCGGCCAGTCTACGGTCTTCGCCAGGCGCCGCGTGAGTGGCACGACGCACTGAGGACTACACTTGCGGCTCTTGGGTTTGCTCCTTCTACTGCCGACCCGTCGCTGTTTCTGCGCACCGACACCTCGCTGCCGCCGTTCTACATCCTCGTGTACGTCGACGACTTGGTCTTTGCCACTGCGGACACTGCCGCACTCGCCCACGTGAAGTCCGAGCTGCAGAAGAGACACACGTGCACAGACCTGGGTGAACTGACAAGCTATCTTGGCTTGCGGATCACCCGGGACAGAGCACGCCGCACCATTACCCTTACTCAGTCACACATGGTGCAGCAGGTCCTTCAGCGCTTCGGCTTCTCGTACTCCTCGCCTCGGTCCACTCCTCTGCCTACGGGACACTCGCTCTCAGCTCTGCCTTCGGATGAGTCCGTAGAGTCGAGTGGTCCGTATCCAGAGCTTGTGGGCTGCCTCATGTACCTGATGACCTGCACTCGACCTGACCTCGCATACCCTCTCAGCATCTTAGCACGCTATGTTGCTCCCGGCCGTCACCGGAAGGAGCACATGGATGCAGTGCAGTACGTCGGGCATGGGGCTAGTGCTTGGAGGGCGTGAGCGGCCTGTGCTCACTGGGCACTCGGACGCTTCTTGGGCTGACGACCAGGCTACTCAGAGGTCGTCTCAGGGTTACACCTTCAGTCTTGGCTCTGGCTCTGTCTCTTGGCGCTCTACTCGCTCTTCTTCGGTTCTCAGCTCCAGCTGTGAGGCTGAGATCTACGCCACGGCCATGGCTGCCCAGGAGCTTCGCTGGCTCACCTACCTGCTGACTGACCTTGGAGAGCGGCCTCGTTCTCCTCCAGTGCTGTACGTCGACAACAAGGCAACCATTGCCTTGTGTCAGGAGCACAGACTGGAGCACAGGACGAAGCACATTGCTCTGCGCTACTTCCTTGCTCGAGAGCTGCAGCAGCGTGGTCAGCTTCGCCTGCGTTTCGTGGCCACTGAGGCCAACACTGCTGATGTGTTCACCAAGGCACTTCCGCCTCGTGACCATCAGCGCTTTTGCACTCTGCTAGGCCTTGTGCCCACTGGGCCTCACTTGCTTACCTCTTGACCTTGCTTGTACTGCTGCATATATATATATCCTTGCTCTTGCTTGTTTAGCACTGTTATATATATATGCTTTGCTGCATGTGAACTGGCCTTGTGGCCTTGACCTTGTGCTCGGAATTTGTGTGGTATCCTTGAGATCCACCCTGAGCTTGCTTTGTTTTGCTTCGCTTTGCTTGACTGGTCTTGTGACCCCTTGCTCTCCCCCACTTTGCCTATGGGGGTGTGAGAGATGATTATATTGCTGATGCATATATTTAGGCTGTAGTGGGGTAGCCCATAGGGGGTACAACCCAATTAGGGTTGTTACTTGTACTCGTTTCATTTCATAGTGCATTCATTCTCTCTCTAATCTCAACACTTTCCTATTCTGCGTCTGCACTCTGACAGAGGTGGAGAGTTTTCCTCCGACCTTCTACGAGCCTTCTGTCGTGCACGAGGCATCTGCCAGACGTTCACGCTTCTGGCCTCTCCACAGCAAAATGGGATTGCTGAGCGCATTGGCATGGTTATGGACGTCGCTCGTACGTCCATGATCCATGCGGCTGCTCCCCATTTTCTGTGGCCGTTCGCGGTTCAGTACGCGGCGCATCAGATCAACCTTCAGCCCCGGGTCTCTGTGCCGGAGACCTCCCCTTCTCTGCGGTGGACGGGGAAGGTTGGCGATGCGTCTGCATTGCGTGTCTGGGGATCACGAGCTTTCGTCCGCGACTTGTTTGCGGACAAGCTGTCCTCCCGTCCTGTTCCCTGTGTCTTCCTTGGCTTCCCCCCTGACGCGCCTGGTTGGCAGTTATACCACCCCACCTCGCGCCGTATTCTGTCCTCCCAGGACGTCACGTTTGACGAGTCGGCTCCTTACTACCGTCTCTTCCCCTATCGCGCTGCCCTCCTTCCCCCCCCCCCCCCCCCCCCGCCGCTCTTCCTCGCACCAGGTCCCCCCACGGTAGACCCCCTCCCCCCTCAGGGTCCAACCTCCTCAGCTGTGTCTCAGGTAGACGCAGTCGAGCCTGTTGAGGTAGCTGTTGACTCTGGTGCTGCTAGGGGAGCTGAGCCTGTGGGTGCCGGGTCTGGGGGTGCTGAGCCCGAGCGTGCGGAGCCTGGGGGTGCTGGGTCTGGGGGTGCTGAGCCTGGGGTTGCTGAGTCTGGGGGTGCAGAGCCTGAGGGTGCTGGGCCTGCTCGTGTGGAGTCTGGCGGTGCTGGGCCTGGAGGTCCTTCGGGTGCTTCATCCCGGCGGGAGCTACTCTCTCCACAGGAGCTGCGCGAGTGGTTTGCTCGGCGCTGGAGTCGTCTTGCTAGAGCTGGTGGTGCTGCCTGAGCTGGAGGTTCTACTGCTACTGGGGGTGCTGGAGCCACGGGTCCCGGAGGTGCTCGTACTGGAGGTACTGGAGCTGCTGGGCCTAGTGGTGCTCCTGGTGCTGGAGCTGGCAGTGCTGCTGGAGTGGGTGCTGCTAGAGGTACTGGGGCCGGAGCTGCTGCGTCTTCTGGTGGTCCTGCCGGAGCTGGAGTTGCTGGAGGTAATGGAGCTGGGGGTGCTACTGGAGCTGGTGCTCCTATGGGTGCTGGAGTTGGCACTCCTGTCAAGCTATATTTGTTATAGCTTCTATTGTTAGTCTAGGTGTACTTTCTACTTGTTGGGGTTAGGGTTATGTTTCCTATATACTTGTTGTACTTTCCACTTCTAGTCAATTCTTATTTCTTAACATGGTATAGAGCTAGGTTTACCCTAGCTAAGGTTTCCCCTAGCGTTTTCACTCTTGATAGTTGGGCCCACCAAAATCGCTACTAGAGCGCGCCCCGTCATAACGCGCGCCCCTTAGGTCGTCGCCTGTCGCCCGTAGCGCGCCCGGCGTCAGCAGCTCTCCCTTCGCCCGTCGCTTTTCCGTCGCCCGTCGGTTTTCCCCTCCCGTCGCCCATCGATTTTTTTTTCCCTCCTGTCGGCCGTCGCATGTCCATTTTCCTCGCGCGCCCTACTCATCGCCCGTCAAACAACAGTAGAACGCGGGCCCCGCGACCCTTGTTCGTTAGCAGGCCCTGCGGCCCCTCTAGGGTCGACGTAGAGAGCCGCGCGACCAGTGATTGACGGCCCCGTGGCCCGAGTTAGCTGGCCCCGCGCGACCCCCCGTGTTCCCCTTCATTTCCGCCCGTACCCCGCAACCTTCCGCCCGTACCCCGCAACCTTCCGCCCGTACCCTGCATTCCGCGGCTTACTACGACCCTATCCCGCCTCTCCCTAGCTACGACCGCCGCCATTTACCCCAACAACCGCTCTCCACCCCTATTCAACCGCTCCGAAACCACTGCACCGTAATCAACCGCACCAGATCCACCTCTCAACTGCAGTAGAACACTCCCAACTGCGAGATATTGATCCCCACCGCTCTAGACCTCCCTCGACCGCACCAGAACCGCCCTTCGCCGCTCTCAACCTGTCCCAACCGCCCTTCACCACACTCAACCGCACCAGATCGTTTTCCACCACTCTAGACCTCTCTCAACCGCACCAGACACCCACTCAACTGCACCAGGTTGCTCTTAGCCGCCCTCGTCCATCCCTAGCCTCACCCAACCGCGTAGAGGGCCTCTCTCTCGCCCTAGGCGCCTCCCACTACTATGGCGACTGTTCTGGAGTTCGACCCTGAGGGTCGCACTGTCGGTTTCCCGGCATGGCTGCGGAAGCTCAAGCTCTACCTCGGCAGTCGTCTCGAGAATGACATCCCTCTTTCCGAGCATGCCGTTGGTAAGCTGAAAGCCCCCCCCACTCCCGCTCCGCTTGGTGACGATGCGTCAGCAGATGCCCAGGCTGCCTATGCCCAGCGTCGCACTGAGCTTAGGCGCTGGGTTGCGCGTGACAATGCAACCATCCTTGCTATCACTTCCCTGCTGCTGCTGACCGAGCAGGAACACTTTGCGCAGGAGGAGACGGCCCACGCACTGATGAAAGCTGTGATCACTCGCTATTCCACCCCAGTCATTGTGACTCTAGGACGCCACATCCTCCCCTTTCTCTTTCCTGATCTCCCGTCGTTCGCTAGGGTGGCTGACCTAATCCCGCACTTGCGTTCCCTTGATGCTCAGTTCCGTGCTGCGTTTACCGACCCTGCCTTGCTTGCCAAGAACCCCCCCACATGTACATGACCCTGTACCTGCTAGCCTCCCGTCTCCCTGACCGATTCAAAACCGCTCGCGACCACTTTCTCACCGTTGATCCACCAACTCTCACCACTGAGCTCTTTGAGGAGAAGCTCCTTGCAGTAGAGGGTCCCGCTCGGTCTCTTGCTGCCACTACTGGTGCTGTCCTCCCCCCTATCTGTGAGGGGTGTGCCCCGTCCTTTCTTGCCTCCTCTGTGGCCTCGGCCTCTGTTGCTACTGCAACAGAGGTGGCAGCCGTTGCCTCTGGCAACAAGGGGGACAAGAAGGGCGGCAAGAAAGGAGGTGGTGGTGGTGGCGGTGGTAGTGGCGGTGGGGGTGGTGGTGGAGGAGGTGGAGGGAGTGGAGGAGGCGGAGGGAGTGGAGGAGGTGGCGGTTCCGGTGGTAGTGGAGGAGGGGGTCCTGTCTCGGGGAGTGTGGAGCCCCAGCAGCAGCTACAGCAGCAGCACCAGCCACAGCAGCAGCAGCAGCAGAAGCCACAGCAGCAGCAGCAGCAGAAGCCACAGCAGCAGCAGCAGCCACGGCAGCAGCTGCTCCAGGGCCAGCAGAAGTAGGTCCAGCAGTGGCCCCCACAGCAGCAGTGGAGGTCAGCCAGACCAGGGAGCACTGCCCGTAGCAGTGGCCAGTCCAGCTGGTCGTCGCGTGGTCCAGCCTTACTCCCTGCCAGTACTGGGTTCAGACTGGGTCACGTCGAGACGGCCCCTGTGGCCGCCTCCACCCTCCGGGCCAGTGCTTTGCGCAGCTTACAGACCGCTATCGCGCACACTTCGGCCTTGGTCGCACTCCCCCTGACTGGCGCTCGCTGGCTCGCACCATTGGTCCGCAGTTGTTTGACATGTCTGCAGTAGACTTAGACCATGCTTTGCGATCTGCCTCTGTGATATATGCCGATGACTCTAGTGTTGAGTATTCTTGTTATTACTCTTGTCTGTCTAGCTTAGGTGCTGTAGAGGTTGCTAATGCTTTCCCTGCTAGCGTAGCTTGCACAGGTTCGACCACTGGGGCTGCGTCTTTGTCGTTCACGCTCGACTTTGGGGCGTCCAGCTGTTTCTTTCGCGACTGCACCGGCCTCACACCACTACGCACTCCTGTCTCTGTCGCCCTAGCTGACTCCACGGCGGGACCAGTGGTTGCTCACAGCACCACCACCCTCCCGTGTCCGGCGGCTCCCTCTGGGTTCCTCACAGGTTACTACACCATCTCGTTCTCCAGGAACTTGGTGGGTGTCAGTCACCTGCACGACCTCGGAGTAGTCACCACTTTCCCTTTGGTCGAGCCTGTTGCCTCTTACACAATCGGTGTCAGTGGGGCGCCTCTTGCCACTTTCCACAGGGAGCCAGGCTCCGGCTTGTACTCACAACACACGGGGTCTCACCGCTCATGTCAGGTCAGGTCAGGTCAGGTAGCTGCTGTGTCGTGCGACTGTCGGTCACTCACTCACCCGTCGGTCCTCTGGCACCACCGCCTAGGTCACCCGTCCTTCCCACGTCTCAGTAGGATGGTACGTCACCGTCTGGTCTCAGGTCTCCCAGAGTCGCTCGCCCCGCTTCCCTGCTCGCCTGCGCCGCCGTGCACTCCTTGCGTCGAGGGTCGGCAGCAAGCCCCAAAATGGGTTTAGGCTCACCCTTATGTCAGAACATCATAGCTTATGCATTTTGTGTAGGCTATAGTGGGGTAGCCCATAAGGGGTACAACCCAATTAGGGTTAGTACTTGTACCCAACTCTTTGATAGTTCATTCATTCTCGTTCTAGTTTTCTCATGGTATTGAGCAGGTTCCCTCGTGGGAACTGTTCCTAGGGCCCACCGATTCGATTTTTTTTTCCTGCCCGGAGCGCACTCAGCCCTTGCCCGAGTC